TACAATATTTGTCATGTATTACAGTCTTTAGAATTTTTTTTAATGTTATGAGCATTTGTCTGAATGTATATATGTGCACTGCCTGTGTGCTTGGTGCCTACAGAGGGCATCTGATCCCCCAGAACTGGAGTTAGAGGTGGTTTTGAGCTACCATGTGGGTGCTGAGAACTGAACCTGGGTTGTCTGTAAGAGCAGCAAGTGTTCTTAGCCTCTGAGCCATCTCTCCAGCCCCCTGGTCTTCAGGATTTTTAAGTAAACATCTTAAAAGCACGTTAACATTTTGTTTTAATATTTTATGTATTTTTAAAATTTTACGTGTAAGCTGGGTGTGGTGGCGCACACCTGTAGTCCCAGCACTTGGGAAGCAGAATCAGGTGGATCTCTGTGAGTTCAAGGCCAGCCTGGTCTACATAGTGAGTTCAAGGACAGCTCGGGCTACAGGGAGACTCTGTCTCAAAAGACGAAAAAAATAATAAATAAAAAATTTATGTGTATGAGTATATTGCCTGCATGTATGTGAGTGCACCTATGTCACGTAAGGCTGCAGAGGTCAGAAGAGGGCTTCAGACTTCCCTGGAACTGGAGTTAAGGAAGGTTCGTAGCCACCATGTGGGTGCTGGGAATCGAACCCAGGTCCTCTGCAAGAGCAGTCAGTGCTCTTAACTGCTGAGCCATCTCTCCAGCCCCCACATTAACATTTGTATGTGTCCTGGACTGGTGAGATGGCTCAGTGGGTAGAGGTACTCGCTCTGAAGCCTGATGTCCTGAGCTCAATCTCTGGGACTCATATAGTAGACACAGGGAACTTTTTTTATGTGTCCTAATGTCAGATGTCAAATTGCTTTCACAGAGTTCCATCAACCCAGATGGGTATCTTGCTTTTGCTTCAAAGACTAGTAAAGCAGTACTCATGTGCACATGCCAGGACTATTATGCACAGGCAAATTAAAGGCCAATTACATGAGCGACTGCTGATTCATACCCCTGCTGCTTAGGTACACGCCAAACATCTCTACTATTTATTTCAAGTACAGTAGCAGTGCTTACTAAGTGCATCCCATGTGCTAGGTTCCATGCAAAACATTTATATACCGTGCACTTAATTAAGCCACAATATTTCTTTTTACTATGAACATTAAAGTTTTTGAAACAATTCAGGAACTATTTTACAAAGATAAAGCCTCTTCCAGCAAACATTACTGTGGAATATAATATACCTAATATTCAAATGGGTAGGGTGCTTCTATTACTTAAAATATGAAAATGGTGCACACCTTTAATTTCAGCACTTGGGAGGTAGGGGAAGGCAGATCTCTGAGTTCCAGGCTAGCCTGGTCTACATAGTGAGTTCCAGGCCAGCTGGGGCTACAGGGAGACCGAGAAGGGAAAAAAAAAAAAAAGAAAATTGTGCAGTCTCTTTAACCTCTCACTATGACCTAACCATTTTAAATACTGTGACCTTGGCTGGAGAGATGGCTCAGTGAGTACAGGTACCTGGGCCACACCTGATGGTCTGACCCCAGGACTCACATGGCAGGACAGAACTGACTCTGGAATTTGTCCTCTGACCTCTACATGCACAACTGTGGCAAATGTGTGTGACACACACGCACACACACACACACACACACACACATTAAAATGCAATAAAACTTTTAAGAAATACTGTGATCTTGTAAGTCACACATAGTACATGTGACTAGAATTGTCTGTGGCTCCAAACTGCTGTATGACTTCAGATAACAGAAAATGATTTTTTTATTGTAACTCAGGATAGCAAGTTGGTTTCAAGGGAGATATCTGTGGACAGATACTGAAAGAGCAATGTGATATAACTGCTAAGACACAATGAGCAGAATTTAATCTGTTGCTTTGCCTATCTATTTTTTGCCTAGAGGATATCTGTACTTTAGAGAGCACAACTTATCAGAAAAGAACATGAATAAATTTTCAGAAAACGACAGGCACAGAGGGTAGCCTCTGTAAATTTAAGAGTCCTTTAGAGATACCATGAAATACAATGTTCAGTTAAAAATATGGCTAAAGTAAAAAAGGCACTGTATTTTAACCTGTGACTCTGGGTGCCATGATGTGTCAAATACTGCAGGCTCATCAACTGTAACAAAAGTATTCTGGTTGTGCCAGATGCTGATAATGGGGGTACATTTAAGAGAACTCTCAGTACTTTCTCCTCAACTGTGCTGGGAACCCAAAACTTCTGTAAGAAGTCTGTTTAAAAAATTGTTCAGGCTGTAGAGACGGCTCAGCATTTAAAAGCCTATACTTCTCTGCTGAAGGACTCAAGTTCAGTTTATAACATCCACATCTTTAAAGGCTGTAACTACAACTTAATAATAACAACCCACAACAAAACAAACAAAAAAATCCCATTGTTCAGATGGGTGAGATGGCTCAGCTCAAAAAGGCCCCTGTAGCCAAACCTGACAACATCTCACGAACCTACAAAGTGGAAGAACTGCTTCCTTGAAGTTTTCTCAGACTGCCATATGCACACCACGCCATGGTATGTGTGAACACAGACACAAATAAGTGTTTAAAAAAATTAAAAACAAAACTGTTCAACATGAAACTTGAAGGTTAAAAAAAAATGTGTGTATGTGTGCATGTGTAGGTGCCTGTGGAGGTCAGAAGAGTACACTGGATCTCCTGGAGTTGGAGTTACAGAAGCCACTCTATGTTGAGTGAGAACAGAACTAGGGTCTTCTGCAAGAGCAGCATGTGCTCTTAACTGCTGAGCCATCATCTCTCCAGCCCCCAAAAGATTTTAAAAAACAAGTAATCCTATCATCTCTAAAAACTTGGTAGCATCATCAATGTAAGAAAAAACTGGGGCTGGAGAGATGGCTCAGCAGTTAAGAACACTGGTTGTTCTTGCAGAAGACCTGGGTTCGAATCCCAGCACCCACATGGCAGCTAACAACTGTCTGTAACTCCAGTCCCGGGTGATCCAACAGCCTCTTCTGACCCCTCCACAAGCATTGCATGACATGGGTGCACTTACCTACATGCAGGCACTACACACATACACATAAAATAAAAATAATAAAATTAAAAAAAAAAAGAAACTGAACTGCCTTTGAGACAATCTCTAAAAACAAGAGCCTAGTATTTTTCAGAGGCAAACATTCACATCTGTGTTCAATTTCAAATCACAACAAAAATATGGAGCCAGTAAAAAGACCAGGGGCTCTGGCAAACTAGGGTACAGAATGATGGTAAACAGAGCAGGGATTTTTTTTTTTCACTTTATTATTTTTATTTTAATGTGCAATGCTGCAGAGGGCTTTGTATTCCCCTGGAACTGGAGTTAAGGATGGTTCATAGCCGCCATGTGCGTGCTGGGAATCGAACCCAGGTCCTCTGCAAGAGCAGTCAGTGCTCTTAACCCCTGAGCCATCTCTCCAGCCCCTAGAATAGGGATTTTTAAGGCAGCGCAAATACATCATAATGGTGGATTAGTATCATTCTCTCAATTGTTCAGGCCACAGAATGTACAGTATCAAGCCTGAGCCCCAAATATAAACTACCATCTTTGGGTGAGAATAATGTCATGACAGGTTTATCGGTTAGAACAAATCGACCTTTTAGCGGGGGTGCACTGACGAGAGGCTATGGATGTATGGGAGCAGAAAATGTACGTGGCTTAATAGTGTTGTTAAAAAATAAGTCATTAATGGGGCTGGAGAGATGGCTCAGTGGTTAAGAACACTGGTTGTTCTTGCAGAAGACCTGGGTTCGAATCCCAGCACCCACATGGCAGATAACAACCTTCCCTAACTCTAGTCCCAGGGGATCTGACAGCCTCTTCTGACCTCTACAGGCACTGCATCACACGGGTGCACTTACCTACATGCAGACAATACACGCACACACATAAAACAAAATTAATAAATTTTTTAAAAGTTGTTAAAAAAAATTAAGAGTTATCATGTAATGAACCAAATGTCAAATGACACAAGTTTTGGTAACAATGTAAACAGTCTCCTCTATGCAATTAGTAGACATCTTAGATCATCTATGTCTCCTGACTCTTAATTTCATATTTTCATTCTTATAATTGTTCAAGTACAAATAAAATGCGACTAGAACATTCTGTGCTGTGACAATATATCAAACACAGTACACAGAGTTATCAAAATGCTCCCGTAAATGAAGCTAATTTGATAAACTTCTCAAATGCCTCACGGATGCACACATAAACTTTCCAGTAAAATGTAACAGTTTGGTTTCTGTAAGAAACTGCAACCAAAGTCAGGTGATTTCTAAGCTTTAGAGGACACCAAAAGAACCTAAGTATTCCCGTAAAACGACACGAAGGTTGCAACTAAAAGGAATGTTTTTAAGATAGGAAACGCTACCATTTCATAGAGAGCTTTTAGCACACACGCGCCGCCGCCTGGACATCTTGTCTTTTGTGGTCCTTACGTGTGTGTCAAATTGCGAATAACAAGGAGAAGAAGGATTCATGGAAGAAGAAACTTAGGTTCAGAGAAGAAACTTGTCTGGGTCACCTAACTTCCTAGGGACCCAAACTGGCATTCCAGCCTACAAAACTCCAAGCCAAACATCCTTCGCAGGGTCTACTCGGTGCCAGGCAGCGCCGGAATTTGGAGATGAGAAGTCGGCCACTGTGGTCGTGGGAACCCGGCACCGCGGTCGAGGGGCTGGGCCTCCTCCGCGCCTCCATCCCGCCAGCAAGGCCCTCCTCGGCCACTACGCACAGGAACCGGCAGACCCTCGCGGCCCTCACAGCAGGGCAGAGCAGGGCCGGCCGGGCGCTGGACAGGCGGAGTGGAGGCCCGAGCAGCCCGCGGAGCCCACGGCTCCCAGGACATGAGCGACGCACGCGCACCGGGATGGCGCTGGGTCTCCGGACGACGCGGCCTCTCGCCGCCAGCTCGGTCTGGAAGAACTACGGCTTCCCGCTCGCCGGCCGCCCGATCCGCATCACTCTGCCGTTCTTCCCGCCCGGTACTCACCACCCGATTGTCCCGCTTCCCCATGGTGCCTAGCTGAACGCACAGGAGGACGCTGAAACAGAGCAGGCCCCAAGGCAGCCGAAGCTGACCGCCGCAGGTCCTCCGGCCGCCTCTCCGCCCCACCCAGAGAGCGGCGCCGCGCCAACCCGGTGCCCGCTCGCGCCACAGCTCCCTCTAGCGGAGCGGAGGACAGTCCGCCGCGTGCGCGACCGGGGCTTCGGATAGACGCCTCTCCATCTGGCTTTGCCTTTCCTCTGTTCTTGAGGGACTGAAACACTCTGTTCTAGGGGATGCAAAGATTAGTGCAACTCTCATTGTATGCTTGACCTGGTATGAGTGGGGGTAAAACGAGGACCAGGATAGAACGGACCCTTAGAGTTGGTGGAGGAGAATGCTCTGCTACAGACTGCTAACAAAATTGCACTCCATTCACTCATCATCCACGCATTCCTTTCTGATTTTTTATTATCATCTACCTTGCATAATTTTCAGTAGCTAGTTGACTTAAAATGGAACTACGGCCAGAGACAATGATAGTTGAGACACCATCCCTACCTTTAAGGGGCCTGTTTATAAACTACTAGTGCACACAGGTTATAAACTACTAGCACTCACAGGTTAACCTTTATTGTTTGACTGCTATGATATTATCAGGTCAGTATTGAAACTTCAGGAACGGTGACCTGGGTTCCAGAAAAGAATACACCATGCTCATTGAGTATTCTCAGGCCTGGAAAAAGTGTCTCCTATGTGTGTCAGCTCATCATTGGGAAGTAACTTAAAATTCATCAGGATCCTTTCTGGATTTTTGAAAATGACAAAATGGGGACTTTCATTTCATTCAAGCAAGTGCGGGGGGTTTAAGCCTGTAATCCCAGCGCTTGGAAGACTGGGGGGTTGGTGGGTGGGAATAATGAGTTCAATGCTGGCCTGTGCAATTTAGTGAGACCTTGTCCCAAAGAAAGAAAAATGTAAAAAGAAGACTGGTATGTCTCTCAGTGGCAGTGGTATCTCATCACTTGCCTCGTGTGTGTGAATAATTTAGAGCCCTAAATTCGATCCCCAGTATAAACAAAAATTATCTCCACTCCAAGTACAATAGATGCTCCCAAACACCACTTTATTTTTTTTAATGATTATTTTAATTTTATGTGTATGAGTGTTATACCTGCATGTAAGTACACCCATGTTGTACAATGCACACAGAAGAGGGTGTTGGACCCCCTGGAACTGAGGTTATGGACAGATGTTAGACCCCATGTAGGTGCTGGGAACTGAACTCAGGTCCTCTGCAAGAGCAGCCAGAGCTCTTAACTGCTGAGTCATCTCTCCAGCCCCACCACTTTCTTTCTTAAATCTACACTGATTCTTAGGGAAACAGCTTTGTGGTCCACTGTGAATCTGGCCTGAGGTCTTTCATTTCTGTTCCTCCTCCCTTCTCTCTTACCCCAATTTAAGCTGAAGATTGACTGGCTTCTCTTTCTGTTTAAGAAGAAGAGGAGTGTCTGTGAATATTGTCATTCTTTCTTTGTGTCTCATTTATAATGTTTTCCATTTCCATGTTTTGGCCCTTAGCCCATTGTATTTTTCAACGCCCTCACCATGAGAAGCCTGAAAATATAGGATTGTTATTTCCTCTTTAACATCTTAAAGATGCTATTTTTCACTTTCTTTCTCTTTGATTTGCTTTACAGAGTATAGAGATCTTAAAAAAATATAACATAGTCAGGTGTGGTGGCACACACCTTTAATCCCAGCACCTGGGGGGGGGGCAGAGGCAGGTAGATCTCTGTGAGTTTGAGGCCAGCCTGGTCTCCATTAGTGAATCCAGGCCAGATGCGGCTACTGGGAGACCTTGTCTCAAAAAGAACCCCCTCCCCCCAAAAAATATATATGTATATAAACAGTATGCCAGGCATGGTAGTGTACACTTTTAATCCCAACACTCAGGAGGCAGAGGCAGGTGGATCTCTGTGAGATAGAGACCTGCAAAGTGAGTTCCAGGCAGCTCAGGCTGCAGGGAGACACTGTCAGCCCCCCACCCCAAGAAACCCCAATGTTATATAATTCAACAGGAAGGTTTGTGTTTTATTTAGCTATTTCTCCCTTTGACATGGGACCCAGGCCCTCCTGGAGACAGCATGAATCTTGGAGCACAGATAAACAGGAACACTGCCCAGGGCCCTGTGGGGGTAGGTATAAGAAGAGATAGTGAACTTTTAGAGATTGCTGAGAGAGGACTTTGTAAAAACTAGATCAATCCAGGCCTTCCAAGGACAGAACTCACATCGACTCGGTGGGAAGACCAGAGAGATGCCCTACACATATTTACATGGAACGCACTTTCTCCTAGGAGGTCTACGCTGTCCCAAGTGTTCAAGGCATAACTAAGAGGTTGCATTCCATCTTTCAGATGAGTAAAACAGAGGCTAAGCAGCAGCATCATTTACTCCAGGTTCTACACTGAGAAATCAGAGAAGCTGGGTGTTCACAGGTGTGCTGAGCAGGAAAACAGGTGTCTTCCTTATAACCTCACACTGTCATTGGTGAGAGTGAGGGAGGATTGAATTTCAGATGGACTATGACCCTGGCAGACCTCCCACAGAAGAGCTGAGAGGAATATTCCTACACAGGGAATTGCCTGGGTAAAAAGAGACAGACACAGGCAGGTGTCCCAGCATGGACACTTAGTGGGGATGTGAGGCTAGGATATATGGAGCTGGATGCAAAGACCTTTGAACGCCAAAGGAAGAAGCCTTATTTTATTGTGGAAGCAGAGTTTTGAAAAGGATTGGGGAACTTCAAAAGGCAAAACTGTAAATAGTAACAGTAATAATGACATTAATAATTTTCTGAGGTAAGGGTTTTCAGCTTGAATACCATTTACTGATTATAACTTGGGTCTCCATCGACATTTAATAATACACTAGTTGATCTTCCTGCACTTTGCATTGTTTATGTATGAGTATTTGAGAATGTGAATGGAAAGAGACACAAACACCTAATCTACAACCTCAAGTGTCTGTTGTTTTGGGTGGATATATCCCTAGACTGGTGTATTAGTTACTTTTCTGTTGCTGTGATAAAACACCATGACCAAGGCACCTTACAGAAGGAGAAGTTTATTTGGCTTATGATTCCAGAGGGATTAGAGTCCATAATGGCAGGGGAGGTATGGTAGCAGAGGTGGCCAGAGCAGAGGCTGAGCGCTCACATCGTCAAGCAGGCACAGGAAGCAGAGAGCAACTAGAAATCTGGCAAGGCTTAAGAACTCTCGAAGCCCACCCCCGGTGACCTGCTTCCTCCAGCAAGGCTACATCTCCTAAAACCTCCCCAAACAGCACCACCAACTGGGAACAAAATGTCCAAATACTTGGTGCCTGTGGGAGACATTCTCATTCAGACCACCACAACTGGAGACACAAAAGTTGGCACTTTTATATTTGAAGACAACAGACACTATAATGATATTAACCGAGAGAGCAAAGGATGGAGGGTGGGGCACCAAGTTTGGTATCATAAAGGAATTGTTTAAAATATGGTGCATCCATGCAGGGGTAAACCATGTAAGAATTTAAAAATTGATGTAGAATTGTATGTTTGGTATGGGAATATGGGCATTATACATTATTAGAGAAAAAAAGGATCATAAAACAGCACAGACTGTAATAGTGTAGTAATTAAAGGATATATCAGACCTGGGGATTAGGGCTTAATGGGTAAAGCACTAGTGCAAGTGTGAGGACTGGAGTTCAAATCCCCAGCACCCATGTAAATGTCAGGCAAGTGAGGCATGGTGGTCCACCAGTCATCCCAGTGCTCTGGAGGCAGAGATGGGATTCCCCAGAGCAAGTGGTTGGCTAGGCTAGCTAAACTGATGAGCTCATGGTTTGGGGAGGGACCTTATGTCAATATATAAAGTGGAGAGCAGTCAAGAAAGATATTTGACATCAACTTTGGGCCTCCAAATGCATGTGCATACATATGTACCTACTCACTCATATACATCCTTACGTGTGAATACTCACACACGCACATATACTATTGGCTTGACAGATGGCTCAGCAGTTAAGAGTACTGGTTTGATTCCCAGCACCCACAGGGTGGCTAACAACCATCCATAACTCCAGTTCTAGGAGTACCTGACGTCCTCTTTTGACTTTTGTGGGCATTGCATGACACAGATGCACTTACACACATGTAGGCAAAATAAAATACAAAATAAAAAATAAAAAAAGAAAATATATTTGTTAAGCATTATGAAATATTGATAAATTTTTGACTTATAGGATTGGCAACTTCATACTGTTCATCTTGTATGTGTGTGTATGTGTTTGTGTGGTATGTGTGTGCATGTGTGTATGCATGTGTGTGTATACATGTGTAGGTCAATCTCAAATATATTCCTCAGGAACCATCCACCTTGTTTTTGTTTGTTTGTTTGTTTGTTTAATCTTTTTGGGACAGGATCTCCCTGTAACCACGGCTAGCCTGGAACTTACTATGTAGACTAGGCTAGTCTTGGTCTCACAGAGATCTGACTGCCTCTGCCTTTTGAGTGCTGGGATTAAAGGCATGCATCACCATCCCTGGCTCCACCTTGTTTTTTGAGATAGGTTTCTTATTGATTTAGAGCACAGCAATTAAGCTAGGCTGGTTGGTCAGCAATTCCAAGGGAGTACCTGTCACCACCTCCCCAGCTCTGGAATTACAAATGCATGCCGCCAGGAATGGAATTACTAAGCTTTCTTACCTGAATTCTGAGGACTGAATTCAAGCCCCCTTACTTGTCCTGCAAGCACGTTATTGACTGAGCTATCTCCCCACCCTCTCTCTGTATCTGAATATATTCAGGAAAATTCCTGAAAAGTCTCCACAACAAACTGTAACTGGTGGGGTTACATTATTAAAATATTGGTGAGTTGGGCTGGAGAGATGGCTCAGCAGTTAAGAACACTGGTTGTTCTGGCAGAAGACCTGGGTTCAAATCCCAGCACCCACATGGCAGCTAACAACTGTCTGTAAGTCTAGTTCCAGGGGATCCGATGGCCTCATCTGTCCTCCGCTGGCATTGCACGACAGGGGTGCACTTACTTTCATGCAGGCAATACACTCATATACATTAAATAAAAATAATAAATAAAATATAAAAAAATATTGGTGAGTCAAGAAGGTGGGCAGAGAAGTTATTTTTCACAGATCCCATTCTTTCTGTTTTACTCTGCTAATTGATTCCCCTTGGGAATTTCACACATGCTATGTAAATTCTGGAGGTAATTTGTCTTCACAGAGTTCAAACAATGACCAGCTGACATTATCATCTTGTGTTCTTGATAGCCATATTTCTTTCTGAACAAAATATATAAAAGATTTATGTTTAAAGAATTTGTACTATTGAAAACCAAGTAGTCAGTCTTTTGTAAACCCCAAGTTGAATCCTTTTATGCGTGAAGGCAGAGGAAGTTACCAGGAAAGTGAGTCAGAAAGGAAAATTCCTGATGCCCATGAGAGCTTCGGCTGAATCAATGGGTTATGGTTTTGCTATAATTTTCCTCTTGTTTCATTCTTGTTGAGGTGACTCATGAGCTATAAAAGTTATCAATCAATTATTCAGATTGGCTTTTGTTAGCACTGAAAGAGAACATATTTAAAAATTTAAAGAATCAGCTTTATTGGGTAGTTTACATATAATAAAATCCTCCATTTACAGTGTAGTTTGATGAATTCCAGCAAATGTATACTCGTAGCCACAACCACAATCAAGTTATGAAATATTTCCATCTCTCTAAAACATTCCCTCTGTGCCTTTTTGCAGTTAATTTCATTCCCTGTCTTCTGGTCCCTGCAAATCACTGATCTGTTTTCTGTTACTATAGTTCTGCCTTTTTTAGAATTTCATATAAGGATTTTGTGTGTGTATGTGTGTGTGTGTGTGTGTGTGTGTGTGTGTGTGCACCAGAGATTGACACTGGGTATCTTCCTCTATTGTTCTCCACCTTATTTTTTGAGACAGGGCCTCTCACTGAACCTGGAACGCATTGATTTGGTTAGACTGCTGGCCAGTGAGCTCTGAGGAGCTTCCTATCTCTGTCTTGGCCCCAGCACATAACTGGCTTTTATGTTGGTGTTGGGGATATGAGTCAGATGCAATGCTTATCAAGCAAACACTTTACCCACTGAGCCATCTCCCCAACCCCTAAATGAATTTACATAGACAGAAAACATCTATATTGCCTCAATAACTCTCTGTAAAAAATTATTTATTATTATAGTGTGTGTATACACATGCACTCCAGGAATTGAACTCAGGCAGTCAGGCTTGGGTGGCAAGTGTTTTACCGAGTCCCTGGCCAGCTGGCCCCTACTTCTTCCTTTTACTGTGGAGTAGTATTCTTTTCATTTATAAGGTGTTTATTCATTCCTCTTTTGATGGACATTTGAGTTGTTTCCAGCTTTTACTCATTATGAATATAGCTGTTCTGAGCATCTAGGTATAATGTTGGTGTACACCCATGTTTCCACTTTTTTTTCTCTAGTGAATTCCTAAAGGTGATATTGTTGAGTTCTAAATGAATGCTTGACTCTTGTTCTCTTTCTGAAGTGGCTGTATTATGTTGCATTCCTAGCATTAATGGTAAGACATTACTGTTCCACATCCTTACCAACATTTGGAGTTGTCAAATTTTCACATTATAGCTACCTGTGTAGTGAAGGCTCATAGTCTTCAATTGCATTTGGCAAGCATTTTTTGTGCATTTTTGTTCAATTGGTGAACAAACATGTGAAAGACAGGTGCAAAAATAAATCCTCATTTGCAGCCCACAGCTCATTGTTCAGTGTAAGTTTTGATACATATAAGAAAGAATATGACACTGGCTGGGCAGACCCACCTTGACACTTGTGTACCCATGGAGTCATGCTGACATGACCACCCACGGGAAAAGCCAAGCTGTCTGCCCGCTCACATGCCCCGGCGGCACCCATGGTCAACTAACCACCATCATCACCCAGTGACTGTCAAGACCTGGCTGCAGTCCTCAACAAAATTAGAAATACGAGAAGTCTAGATTTCAGAAAATAAACTGGAGGACACTGGCATAAAGTTGTTGTGTGAAGCCATGAAACTTGCCAACTGCCACTCAGAGAATCTTGGATTGGAGGCCTGTGAGCTAACCAGCCATGAGGACCTAGCTTCTGCTTTTACCCATAATAAAACACTGTGGGAATCAGCCTGTTGGAGAATGCCTTGATGTACAGTGGGGTCACTGTGCTGAGTGAAGCCCTGAAACAGTTGAACTGTAACCTGCCTTCATACAAGGGCTGTGAACAACTAACTTCGATGAAGAAAATCAAGTGTTTCTGACTGCTGAGAAAAGAGAAACCCCTACTTGACATTCCTAAGCAGTGTGCAAGAGAAACAGAAATTAAGAGTGAAAATCCCATTCCAAGAAACCTGGGCTTATTCTGACCCAAAATCATGTAGAAAGGAAAGGGAGTAGATCCTTATGTTGCCACACCTCTGTGTAAGAATTATAGATCACTAGCACTCTAACGAGGTTTGATTTCCTTGGCACCCAGCTCAGGGGTGTTATGGAAGATGGATGGGATTCTTCATTTGCTAATAGAAGACATGAAGTAGGCGGTGGGGATGGAGGTGGTAGGGTGAGGGTGGAGATGGAGGAGGAGGTCTGAATGTAATGAAAATTCATTGTATGAAATTCTTGAGTTAATAAAGTTTCTCTTAAAATTATCTTCTCTTGCTGGGCATGGTGGCACACACTTTTAATCCCAGCCCTTGGGAGGCAGAGGCAGACTAATCTCTGTGAGTTCAAGGCCAGCCTGGTCTACATAGTGAGTTCCAGGACAGCTGGACACTGTCTCAAAAAGACTAAAAACAAAAAAACAAAAAAATTATCTTCTCTTGAAAAGATAAAGAAATAAGTTGCATTTGTCTAATAAAGTGCAGCCACCACTGTAGCGCTCATCCATTTCATCCTCTTGGGTCAACAGCCATTTCACATCTTTTGCCCATTTAAAAAATGAATTATTGGTCTGAATATCAATGATTTATTAGAATATGTTCTGCATCTTGTGGGCTCCCTTTTCATTTTCTTAATGTCTTTCAAAGAGCTGTGGTTTTAAAATTTGATAAATTGCTGTTTGTTAATAAGTTCTCTTATTTGTGTCCTATCTGGGAAATTTTTGCCTAACCCCAAATCATGCAAATGTTCTCCTGTTTCCTCCTCAAGTCTTACACCTTTAGCTTTTATGCTTAAGGTCCTGGATCTATGAGGATAGCACAATTAACAGAGGGATTTGTGGTAGAAATGGTCACTGATTCATTTAATAATATTTACTGAGGGGCTGGAGAGTTGGTTCAGCGGTTAAGAGCACTGACTGCTCTTGCAGAGGACCCGGGTTCGATTCCCAGCATCCACATGGTGACTATGAACTGTCCTTAACTCCAGTTCCAGGGGAATCCGAAGCCCTCTTCTGGCTTCCACAGCATTGAATGACCGGGGTGCACTCACGTATATGCAGGCAATACACTCATACACATAAAATAAAACTAATAAATAAAATATAAAAAAAAACTTACTGAGCACGTACATGTTGTATGCACAGCCAAAAAGCTGAAAACAGAGTTAACCATATGGATATGGGTAGTTTTAGAATTCCGGGAACAGGAAGCAGGAGGTTATTTGAACTCAGTCTCTGCATCTTTCTTTTCTGTTCATAGACAGGTTTCCTGTGATGTCTGTGCCAAGGAGAAGAAATAAGGTCAAGTGCAGCACCAAATTACAGACAGCAGCTCCAGACATATGTGACTGACATGCACGGGGATTTTTCTCAAGTCCCAAACCCATGAAATAATGTTTGCTCCAACTGCTGTGTCCAGGAGAATAGAGTTTACAGAGCAAACCTGGCCTCCTAGAATGTCTTCCTTCCCTAGAGAACAGGGAAGTGGAAATTGGCTGACATCCCAAACATAAAATCAGTACAAGGAACTACTTTTTCTTCTTTTTTTAATTAAAAAGATTTATTTGTGTTTGGTGTGGTGACACACACACTCCCAGCCCTTGGGAGGCAGAGGCAGGCAGATCTCTGTGAGATTGAGGTCAGCCTGGTCTACATAATGAGTTCCAGGAGGATTGGGACTAGGGAGACCCTGTCAAAAAAAAAAAAGGTGATTTTATTTATATTTTTTATTTATGTGTATGTGCGTACCCACAGAGGCCAGAAAAGGTTGTTGAATTCATTGGAGCTGGAATTACAAATTGTGAGCTGCTGAACACGGGTGCTAGGATCTGAACTTGGGTCCTCTGGGAAAGCAGGAAGTACTTTATAACCACTGAGTCATCCCTCCAGCTCTAAGGACCTACTTCTTAATGGGCTGTGATTCCAAGAGCGTTAATAGAGATGAGCAAAGGATCTGTTTGGGCATAGCTTTGAAGACAATGGTCCAGTCAAGCCTAACTGTAAATACCTATAGTTTGTGGAAACCTACTATGACTGACCTCTTAATAAACTGCAAAATTTCAATTTCCTAATAAAGAACAAGTTCTCAGCTTTATGGTATCCACCATGAATATTTCTTTTAGAATTTAAAAATTCAAACGCAATTTGTGGCTAAAAAAATAAAGGCAAGTCCTAAATGGGAACTTCCAGGGAATCCTTGAGGTCTAATTTAAACATACTCAATATTACACACACAGAGGGGACTATGCATCATGTAGCAACTACGGTTCACCCTTATTTGGCTTATTGGGAGTCACTATGTTTATTAATTTGCTTCTAGAACATGAATAGTCAAGCAAAAGTAAGCAAGCGCCTTTATATTTTATCTATGACATCACTTCCTGACGTGGCTTTACAAACTCACAGTTTTCAGACATGGGATTGTGAAATCAATTTTAGCCGTGTGTGTGTGTGTGTGTGTGTGTGTGTGTGTGTGTGTGTGTGTTTTATTTTTTTCTTTTTTGAAACGGTCTCCCTGCAAACCTCAGCTGGTGTGGAACTCATTATGTGGACCAGGCTGACCTTGATCTCATAGAGATGTACCTGTCTGCCTCTGCCTCTTGAGTCCAGACTGGGATTAAAGGCGTGCACCACCATAGCTGGCCCACATGTATTTTTAGAGTTAAGACGGAAAAAAACAGGAAAGAGTACATGTGTGAAATACATGGCAATATTCTGTGACTTGCAGGTTTGCAGACTTGCAGAATCCCTTGGAAGCTCCTAATAGCACTTGCCTTTATTTTTTATAGGCCATAAGCTATATTTTCATTTTAAAACCCTAAAAGAAATATTCATGATGGATAATACAAAGCTGAGAATTTGATTTTTATTAAGAAACATGGCCTTCTGGGACCCATTCCCTCTACTGAATTTTCCCTAGAAAACAAGGAAGTGGAAACTGGGCTGAACTCCAAAGGGTAAAATCTGTAACTGGGCCGGGGCGTGGTGGCGTGCACCTGTAATCCTAGCACTCGGGAGGCAGAGGCAGGTGGATCCTTGTGAGTTCAAGGCCAGCCTGGTCTACATAGTGAGTTCAGGTCAGCTGGGACTACAGGGAGACCCTGTCTCAAAAAGCCAAAAAAAAAAAAAAAAAAAAAAAAAAAAACAGAAAAGAAAAAGCTGGGCGTGGTAGTGCACGCCTTTAATCCCAGCACTTGGGAGGCAGAGGCAGGTGGATCTTTGTGAGTTTGAGGCCAGCCTGGTCTACATAGTGAGTTCCAGGACAGCTGGGGCGACAAGGAGACCCTGTTCCAAAAAAGACACACACACACACACACACAATCTGTAACTGCAGCTACTAGGATCTTAATGGAATGTGAGAGTAGCAGAGATTACTGAAGGGCCTGTTTAGACACAGCTTTGAAAGAAATGATCCAGGACACATGCATACATGAGCATGTGTGTACCAGGTCTTGTTTTTCTACAGGTTATGATACAGTGTTTGGAAACTACTTCCAGGCCCAAACTCACTCTTCTGCCCCCTTTCCTGCCTTCTCTTTCAGGCCTCTGCACATTCTGAGTGCTTGTTGTGACTGGTGAACAGCCATCTTTGCTTTTGAGTACTCTCAAGCCTTATTTCCGTGAAAATTGTTTGAGTGTGTACACATGTATATGTGAGTACGCCCAGGGGGCGTCAGTGTCTTCCACTACTGCTCTTTTTGAGACAGGGTCTCTCATTGAACCTAGCTCAGTTTGACTAGACTGGCTGGCCAGTGAGCTCTGGAGATCTGCCTACCTTCCCAGCACTAGGGTGACAGATGTGGGTTACCACACCTGGATTTTTCTGTGGGTGCTGGGAATCCAAAGGCAGGTCTTCATGCTTTCATGGTAGGCACTTTACCAAGTAAGTCACATCCTCTGTCCTCAAGCCCTCCTTCTTGGTCTCTGTACCTCTATCTCTGTTTAAAAAAAAAAAAATATATATATATATATATATATTTTTTATTTTTCTGCAGAGGACAGAAGCGGCTGTTGGAGCCCCTGGAGCTAGAGTTACCGACAGTTGTTAGCTGCCATGTGGGTGCTGGGATTCAAACCCGGGTCTTCTGCAAGAATAACCAGTGTTAACAGCTGAGCCATCTCTCCAGCCCCTAAAAATATTTTTAGTGAGTTTTTGTGCATTTCATATAATACATCTTAGTCAAATTTAGACCTTCCTCCCCCTCCATGCCCCCCATACCTCTACCCACTGGATTTCATGCAGTCTGTCATATATGTTAAGTCCTTGTGTTTGTTTTTTTTTTTTGGTCTTTTTGTGACAGGGTCTCCCTGTAGCCCCCGCTGTCCTGGAACTCACTATGTAGACCAGGCTGGCCTTGAACTCACAGAGATCTGCCTGCCTCTGCCTCCC